ATGCATGTTATATATATTAAGCTGTTAATTACATCTTAATTAGTCCTTGTAATGCATGCTTACCTGAATGAACATAGCCATGACTGGGGAGGAACTTCCCTATCCAGTTCATAGTTCCTCTTTCTCTATCAATCTCAAGTGAATCACTGAAAAACATAGGAAGTTAAGTGTGTAGTATTCTTCTCTCAAGTTTAGGAAAGAGAAGAACACAATACTCTAAACATTAAAACCGCATAATGAAATTAATTTTTACGAGTTGGTTGAAGTTAATTTGTCAATGCGAAGAATGTGTGTATATTAATTTCTTTAACATAATTAATCATTTTTTTCCGTTGCTAAACGAAGAGCAAATGATACGCCATAATCTTGCTCGCGTTCGAGTGCATGTGTGACATGTCAGCTCAAACTTTTGGACATGCATCATGCTTGCTGGTACAAATCCATTTGCAATATTTTCGCATGAATTTGTCAACTCCGATCTTCTTTCTGCATAACACTGTTCTTGTTTTGTGAGCCCCATTTAGGGCCCCGCCAGTAATAATATCGGCCCCTACCATGTGCTTCCGGCGAACAAGAAAATTACAATTTTTCTTTTGGAAATTCCAGCAACCAAATAGAGCATTAAGGGCTGTGTTTCTTAAGTGTATGGCTAGTAGTATTGTTAAGATGGAAATAAATTAGAATAATTATTGGCTACTTAAAGGATGAGTTGGAGTTCCTATTCAAATAGTTTGTTCCTGATTCATAGAACATTTTGTTTATGATCAAAACCGTTTATATAATAATTCACTTTATAAAGATCGCCGCTACAAAAAATCAATTAAACTAAGGTCGTTTAGTCATCGAACTGTGTAAAAAAGACGAACGGAATTTGTATAAGTATTATAAACTGTCTATGTATTTGCTACAATAAATTGACTAATCGATCTTAGTTTTAATTCATTTTTTCATAAATAATTTTTATCGAGTGATTTATAATATGAATGATTTTGATCATAAACACAAAGCACTGTAATTGAAACGTGAAGAGTTTTGAATAGAAACTCCTACTCATCCTTGAGTAACCAAACATTGTTCAATAAATTATGCACCTTTATTAAGATCAATAGAATAGTGGAATACAATTGCAATTCTCTTTGCCTTCTCTCAATTTTTCTATTTTTCAATTATCTATCTTATTCGTCTTAACAATAACAAGCCCCAATAATTAACCAAATTTTACCCTATATATTAAGCTCACTATAGGAGGAGAATTAGGAGTCTTGATTCAAACTCTTATTGTACGCATGGAGGTAAATTCTTAGTTATTAGTTTTAGGAGAATTAGGACTTGCTCGCCTCAGGCATTGTCGACTGGTGGTCTGTGGGACTTCTTCCTTCAATGAAATTCTATCGATTTTCTTAAAAAAAATGAAAAGAAGAGTTGTGAGCCTCAGTTGATCCGTATACTCTTTAACGAATAACAATAAGAAAAATATATGGTGTTTTACATGTAAGGAATTATTCATTAATAAAAAACATGAATTAGTAAGGTTGAGATATGTGTATTCCTCTCTCTGTCTCTCATGGAGATACACGTATTATTCTTAATAATTTTCAGGATTTTGAATGGCAGAGTGAGAACAAGCCTTGAACCACGGGTCAAACAAGAAAAAGTTATCTTCTTTCTTTTTCTTAACCATATGTCAGAATACAAAAGTACATAATTGTCCATTTTTCTTGTTAGATTTAGTATACGTACGCACTGAAACTAATATTATGAAACGAGTAATACTATACAACAACAACAGTAAAACCTTTTTTAATTAAGTGAGATCGGTTATATGAATCTTAAAATATCATTGTGCTTAGTTTTGTATCATATCTTTCGTTAGATCCAAGTATTCTAAGTCTTTTCTTAGAGTCTCTTCCAAAGTCCTTCTAGGTCTTCCTCTACCTCTTCAGCCTTGAACTTCTGCCTGTAATCACATCTTCTAACCAAAGCGTTAGTAGGTCTTTGTTGAAATTAAATTTGTAAATTATAATATGTCACCAATAAAAAATAAGCATGTTAATCAACACTTAAGTAATAATCCAATCATCGACAATTACATCATTTAGTTACAAAAATTGTTTAAAAAATTTAATCTCTTTAATATTACCCTTATAAAATTATGTACCATTGGGGCTTTCCCCGTTTTAAAAAAACTTAGTATTCTTAGTATTACCCTTATGAAATTATGTACCATTTGGGGTTTCCCTATTTTCTTTACCTGCAAGAACCAAGCACTAATAGTGATACTGCTCGTTTGCCTTGTTAATTAATTAATTAATTAATTTAGGTCTAACAATTGCTAGAGAGTCCAAGGGAATCTACAGATAACTTGCCTTTGGTCTTTGTGGCCACCTTAATTAATCAAGGTCCTTAAACTCTTCTAACACTGTTTGGGCCTGAAATAATATTGTTGGGCCGAGCAGAAGGTTGTGCTCAGCCCAAGGCTGTGTCAAATGTTATGGGCCGAGTGATAAATTCTGGGCCGGTTAGCATGGTCGGTCGAGTCCTATCCTAAGAAGGAGTAGTCCAGATAAACATAAAAGGGTCAAGGAAGTCCTGGTGCAACCAGGACTCCCGGACGGCAAAGAATAAAGCCTCGGAAGAGGGGAAAGTTCAAAGCCCTAGTGGGAGTAGGTTTGTTCGAAGTAAAGTTGAAACGGGACAAGAACTCCCAATCCAGATAAGGGTGCGATTCGGTCTCAAGGAATGGGAGGCTATAAATACAAGAAATCATGCAATATAGAGGACCTTCGATTCAACATACAATTGCCCTGCGCAAAGCCTCTCATACATCTTGAGATTTTTCCTTTTCTTTTCTGCCAACACACCTTCAGTTTAGATAAACAGCACTGTGGAGGCACCTGGTGAACACCTTCAGTTTGGATAAATAGCACTGTCACCGTAGAATCAACCGACCGAGGAGCACCTTCAGTTTGGATAAACAGCACTGCGCCGAGGCCGACTGGTTACCTATCCAAGTCTCTGCCGAGAAGGGTTTTCGAATCCTTGTTGACAGAGGTCACCTTGTTAGCCCTCTTGGCGTAGTAAGGTGTCACGAGTTCGTTATTCGCTGTGCTGGACGCCGAGTGATTTTATGATTGGATACTCACAAGTGAGTTTCAGATTTCAGCATTCTGAAAGCCGAACTATATTCACCATCAAGACCTACATCACCTTTGAGTACTTGTGTCCGTATAGTCTGGTGTCGATTCGACGTGCTTATACTCTTACGAATATAATCACAGTGATCGAATCGGGCGCCGACGATTTGTGAACTTCGCAGAACTAGCAGCCTTGTCTTCAGGCTCTAGAACCCAAAGACCGAGAGTGTTCCTTCCTCGGTCGCAGTCGCAAGATAAAGAAGTCAATAACGCGCTCAACGCGACATCAACGAATTTTACTCCTCGGCCGAGCTTGGCCGACGAGTTGGCACGCCCCGCATTCTACCGAATGACGTAGTTAGCTTATTAGTTACTCGGCCTGCGCGTCACGTAGGTTTTGTAATTTTTAGAGTCAACAAACACATTAAAGATGATTTGGAGAAACAAGTTCTAAGTTGAGGCACATATCTAGCTATATAACTATATACCAAGTAAATTTTTTTCGTTTGTAACCGTAACACAAGAAGTATGACTCGTTTTGAAGTATTTTTAAAATGACAAAAAGTGTTTTTTAGTGAAAATGTTTTTAAAACCAATCCTTAGTAAAAATATAAGTGAATCTTGAAAAAGCATTTGAAGTGATTTCTGCAAGAAATATATAATTATTTTCTCTAAAAACGTTTATAGTAATTTTAATTCCACACGAGCCTACATATTGATATTACAATTTAATTAGCATCCAAAAAATTCAAGTTATATGTGATGGGTTATTAGATAATTTAAGATAATATGCGTTTTCAATTATTAGAAATAGAATATGAATAATTAGAGCACATCGTATACAAATGCTAGTGGCAGCCTAGTGCAAATGAGAAACTTAGGCCCGTTTGAATTGCTCTTTTTTTTTTTTTTTTCCTCACTAAAAAATGCTTAACTTCAAGGTTAAACAGTAAAGTTTTTAGGTAAAAGTAAAGTATCCTACTTATTTTAAAAGTAATCGGCTCCAGAGTAGGTTTTAAAAGCAGCCTATAGTTTGCTTTTAAAAGTTGCTTTAATAAAAAATAAAGTTGAGTATTTAATATTTGTTTTCAACTGCAGTAATACCATCATTAATTTTTTTTTTTTCTTTAAATAGCATTGTATAGCCTTCCACCCCCCTTCTATTCCTTAGAGAATAAAGTAAACGCTATCACCTACCACTAAAAATACCAACCTTACACCATCACTGCCATCACAACCATCATTTTTGTCACCACCACCACCGCAATAACCACAACCTCCACCACTGTCATCACTACCATCATGTCACTACCATCACTACTGCCACCGCCACCATTGCCACCGCCCCTACTATCACTATTGATATCGCCATCGCCACTATTACCGCAACTGCCACCATTGCCATCACAACCATAACTGTCATTACCAGCATCAGTGCTCCACCGCTGAAACCACCATAACCACCACCACCACCACCATTGTTACCGCCATACCACCATTGTTACCTTTCCACCCTAACCGACACATCACACTATTAGCACCACGCCCACCTCCACCGCAACAACCACCACCATTGATGTCAACGCCCCCACTCCTACTACTATGTCCATCTATTATTGCATACAATTATATCACTTTTACATTAAATTTTATCAAACGCTTTTGTGCTGCTTTTCATACTCACATCACTCTTAAAATTCAGTTAACCAAACGCTTATCAATTTTATTTTACAACTAATTATTCTTAAAACACAGCTGAGGCAATTTTTAAAAACCTTTGGATGCTATTATATCACCTACCCGGGGAATATAATATCAGATTTCTTCGGCCATTTTTCTCATACCAGCCTTTCGTTGATTTCTTACAATTAAACATTGACCTACTGTACTTCCCAACTTGCCTTGGCTTATAAGCACTATCTTCCCCCATTCTCAAACTTTATTTTCTTTCTCCTTCTCCTTCTCCTTCTCCTTTCTTTGTTCCCAACTTCATCCAGACAGTACTTGAATATATGTCCACAAACAGGTACTTATAAGTATTCTTTTTATTTTTGTTGTTTCTTTTTACTTTTCAAATCCTTAAATGAATTTCGCCTAACTAATTTTCTTGTTGTTTTATAGGGAGATCACAACATTGGATGAGACAGGAAAGAAGATCAGGAGAGAAAGTGATGCATCTGTTGATGATCAAATGGGGATCATGAGCACTACTCGAATTTCGTCATCATCGTCATCATCGTTTGGTGTTCCTCATCAAGGGATGATGATGATGAGTACAACAACTTTGAACACAATCACACCTTGTGCTGCATGTAAGCTCTTGAGAAGAAGATGTACTGAAGAGTGCCCTTTCTCTCCCTACTTCTCCCCGCATGAACCCCAGAAGTTTTCAGCCGTCCACAAAGTCTTTGGTGCAAGCAATGTTTCCAAGATGCTAATGGTACTATTAAATTTCTTAGGAACAAGCATTCTAATCTTACTATGCATTACTTATTTTTGTTTTATTTTTTTATGTATTTATAGGAGGTGGCTGAGAATCAAAGAGCTGATGCAGCCAATAGTTTAGTTTATGAGGCAACTCTGAGGCTGAGAGACCCAGTGTCTGGGTGCATGGGTGTAATTTTAGCCTTGCACCAACAAGTTCAATCTCTACAAGCTGAACTCAATGCAGTAAGGACTGAAATATTGAGATACAAATACAAAGAGGCCACTAGTCGCAGTGTCGTTTCTCCTAGGGGTATTATTCACCATTCTGCTTTGGTTTCTAATTCTGGGATGGTGTCCATTGCTGCGCAACCACAAGCGATTTCACCACCGCTGCCCCCGCCACTGCCACCAGCATCAGCTCCGTCTTCAGTTGTCTTTTCTTCGTCATCTTCATCTTCAGCTTCTACTGTATACAATCCCATGTCAAGCGAAAATATTCCATATTTCGATTGAAGCAATATATAGTGTTACTGCTAATCAATTAGCCCCTTTCTGTCTGTTTGATTTCTATTGCTTTGTAGGAATTATCATGTTTAATAGATCAGTAGAAATTTTGCTTTATCCCTTTCTTTACGATTGAGAAGTCAAACATGAAAATTACAAAAAAATTTAATTAAAAACACAAACTTGCTGTCTAATTACAAAAAGGGGGTAATAGATTACTCCAATCCCCAACCTGTTGTGAGTAGTACTCCCAAGTTTTCTAATTTACGTCTTTCAATATGCCTTAATTAATAAGGTTTGTTTTTCACTAGGGTTTTTTGCCTCTAAATGTTTAGCCTCATTCAATATGCTCACATATATATATATATATATATATGTATATATATATATGTATGTATATATATATGTATGTATGTATGTATGTATGTATGTATGTATGTATGTATTCTGTTGTACTTTTTACTCTATCTGAACTTGGCCATTGTCAATTAGGGTTTCTGTAAAAGCTCCGTGCATGACCGGACCAATATGCTTTCTCTTGTGGAAGAACTAGTACAACAGATTGTGAAATCTAAAATGCAGTAGCGATATCTGAAACTAGACAAAGAGAAGTATTAGAATTGTAATGGGGTTTTGGTAGCTATGTATTTCCCTGTAGGGTTGGCAGGCGCAGACAATCTGGAAGAAGTTGTCTATTGCACGTGCGGGGAATACGCGGGCTTTGACTTTAACTTTAATTAGCTAGCAAGGTCTACATAGTAAATAGCATAGGCATGTTAGTCTGTGCCAGTGAAAGATGAACCTGAAAAGTAAAACCTAACATGTGATTCGAGGGAGGCAAAAGGTATTTAGGGCTTTTGAATCCCCATGTAAATTAGGTTTGACACTTGACCGACAAAACCCTAATTTACATGATATAGTACTCTTTATATTTTCTTCCTTGATATTCGTCTAAAGCTTCCCATTGCTTTCTACGACACAAATTTAAACTCATTCAAGGTTTGCATCGGTGGCATGCTGCAGACCACTTTAATTTGTAACATTATGGAGGTATTGACATGCCTCGGAGTGTTCTGGTCCGCCTCAAACAATAAGAAATAAAAGAGAGAGATATGATGTCCCTTTCCCTTAAATAAGATTTGGGTGATGCATACCAATAAAATTATGATAATGCCTACACGTCGTACATATATTAAGAAATGAAGTTTCCTTGGCGTGTGGAACTTAAACTGATGATGTGGGAGAGGCATCAAAACATGTATTATAATATGCAAACAAATTAAAAATTAAATATGGGAAAAGATACAATATTAGAGATTCAACAATATTGGCAGAAATCTAGAGAGTTTTGGTCGAATTTGGATTCTCATTCATAGATTGCATTGCTAGGCAGTTAATCGCCTCAAAATACCTTGAATTTGTAGTAATTCGGCATGTGTTTGACTCGTCGAAACTTGGTTTATGAATAAATCAAGTTTATATTCAGCTCCAGTAAGAAACAATTGAATCAAGTTTGAACATTGGTGTCACTTTGTATTACGGTCTAGTGGTACTCATCCTCACTTATAAGTGAGAGGTCTTAGATTCGACTCTCTCTAAATGCGAATTTATACCACATTATTGTTAGCCTATTGTGATACTAAGCCCACCAACATTCTCTTAATGTAGATAATATTATTTGTTCAAAAAAAAAAAAAATTTGAACATTGGTATATTTGGCTTGTAAAATTTGTGAGCAGCTCATCATCTTTTTTTCTGAGGCAGATCGAACTAAATTCTATCGAAGAAGTTTACTTAGAACAAAAAGATCATCTTGTGATTTTCTTTTAAGGAATCATGTTTACGTTTTTTTTCAAATTTAGATTAACTATCTTCACATTTGAATTTTCATCAGATGGAGAATGATATAATGTAGCCTATTTTCTTTTGTTTCTACATAACCTAATTCATGCGTATGCATAAACTCCCCTAGCCTTTCAATCATAAAAAAGAAAAGAACGTTTATGTCATTATTTAAAGTATTATGTTTGAAGATTTTGTGTTATATTGTTTATGTTGAATATACTCTAGCATGAAATCCACTTACAAATTTTTGTTTTAAAAGCGGACCAAACATTATAGTGTTTACTCAAAACAACTTGAGTTCGTGCATCGATCGAGCTTGAATTTTTCAAGCTCGCTTGAGCTCTGCTCATATAATTAAAAAGCAAGCCAAGTTTAGGTGAAACTCAAAATAAAATTAAACAAACCAAATTTAAACTGACTCAACTCATTTACAATCCTACTCGCATCGATCAATATATGAAATTATGGACATGAGCATCAAATTGTTACTTCTTTTTCCCCAACAAGAGGGCAACTATATATGTTCAAGCTAAAAAAAAAAAAGGAAGAGAAAAAAAATATATATATGTTCAAGCTAATTAATTTAAGAAACTACAGTACCAATTAATAAAATAATCACATTCACATTTCCTTCAACAGCGACAGAATAAATAATTGTGCTGACTAACATGCCGCATTTATATAGCTTTGACTACTACTAATTAGTTGGTTGTGAACATCGATCTTTTGTGAGGTTCCTAGATACAAATAAGTTAAAAACGAGACCAGGAGCTGCTAAATATTTTAATCACACAAGATTTGATAAGAAACCATGTTGCAGAAGTTACTAAGCCCACATGCATTCACAATTTCTTCCTCAAGACATGTGGGCAGTTTGAAACATGCAGTTTATGCTAATAAACCTTTCACATGGGCTAATCGACTAATAGAATCAACAAGTACATAAAAAATCATAAAAAAAAAAAAAAAAAAACCTAAGATTAAATATTAAAATAGTCCTTGTGTTCTAGTCATTTGATCAATTTAGTCTTGTATTTTCATTGTGGCCAATTTGATTCTCATATTTACCTATATTAGCTAATTCAGGACATTCCAACCATTCATAGTTTTAAAAATTATGCATGTCTTTTTTTTTAATTATTAAAGAAATAAGTTAAAAAATAAAGAAATATAATTTAGAAATGAAAAATAAGATTAAAAGAAAAAGAAATGAACTTGAACAAATTGATTAAACCCACAATGTCATCCGTCTCCTTCCTTGACACGCCAACTGCCATACACACCCGACCACCACCCCTTCCCTAGACCATACTAGCGATGCGCGAGTCTCATCGTTTGTCCTCAATTATTCCCATTTATTCATCTTTATGTAAAAAGAATTAGGGTTTGGTGGAGGAGGAGTGTTGAGGAAGAAATTTAAAGTACACAACTCTAACACAAGTGTTGGAGAGACAACACAAGTAAACAAATTACTTGTATTAACTCACAAAATATTACAACACAAACTCTCAATGACACAATTTAGAAGTTACGACACTCACTCTTTCTAAAGACACTCTAGCTCACTCATACTCCTACAAGATTACTCTTGCTTCTCACTCTCTTACTTAGCTATCTTCTTAGCTACTTGGTTGGTTGCTTAACATCACACATACATACATATTTAGAGGCAATGGTTGCCAACTTTAAAGTTGGCTAGAACATTCTAGTGGAATGATTATGCACTGCACTGACTCACACACTGCAAACCGACTTAGGCTTTTCATAACAGCCATACAATTTGGCTTCTAGGTCTTTCTACAAACTTATACTTTGATATTGCTAGACCTTTCATTGATCATGCAGCCACTGACTTAAGTTTGCACAATAGCCTTGCCGACTTAAATGATGCTAGAATTTTCTAGCATATTGATATGCATGATGCACCGACTGTGGTGTTAGAACTCTCTAGAATCCAAACACCAATTGAGCTGGTGTTGATCTTCAACACTCCCCCTCAACACCAGCTCATTCTTTCCTCCATGTTAAGTTGATGACGAAGCTTTTTCTTACACACCCATCTGCATGATATGGGTTTCACATCTCTTCGCTTTGGCACTAGATTCCAAGCTTGATTTAGCTTCGCTACAGTGATCTCTTCTCCCAACTTTGAGCCACTTAAGTTCAGTTGTTTTTTCTTTTATAGCTGCATTGGCGTATTTAGGATTTTGCTTCTTGATTCTTGTTGACCTCCTTAGTTGTGATTGTGGAGTTGATACTTCCACTTCACTGGGTCTATCTTCTTCTAGTTGTTGATATACGCCAGCTTGCCAAGGGTTTTGGGGCGTTGCTTGCTCAACACCATCACCATCAAGTGAATCCCCAAACTCATCTGGTCTCGACTGGATTCAAACAGTTTGCTCCCTCATCTTTTGTTGCAATTTATCTTTAATCTCTCTCCAATCAGGCAATGCCTCTTTTTTCTGAAGACGACCAAGAAGATGTTTCATCAAACACCACATCTCGTGATGTGTAACACCTTCCAGTAGTAGGATCACAACATTTCCACCCTTTTCTTTGGCTGTCGTATCCCACAAAGATACATCAGACTGCCTTCTTGTCAAACTTGCTACGTAAATTACTTGGAACAAATATGTAGCACACTTAGCCAAAAACTTGAAAGTAACTAACTGTAGGTTTCATATCCCACAATTTCTCAAAGGGTGAGACAAATTCTAACCTGGGTTGAGGAAGCCTGTTGATCACATGAGCTGCAGTTCTCATTGCTTCGGCCCAAAACCTTCCTGGTACATTCTTGGCATAGAGTATACTTCGACATATTTCTGCAAGATGTCGGTTTTTTTTTTCTACTACGCCATTTTGTTGTGGTGTGTTAGCACATGTGAACTAGTGACATATTCTACATTCTCGTAGATACTGGGAAAGCTCATTCGAGGTATATTCTCCTTCATTATTCGTGCGTATGCAATGGATCTTTTTTCCCACTTCTCCTTCAACTGTCTCTTTAAACTCTTTAAATTTTGAAAATGTTTCAGATTTTTTTTTCATAAAGAAAACCCATACATACCAGGAGAAGTCATCAATGAACGTCACCATGTGCCACATCTCACTTATTGATGGTTGCTTAATGGGCCCGAACACATCGGAATGAACCAACTCCAACGACACTTTCGCTTTAAACTTCGACTCTTCGTATGTTAGTTGATGTGCTTCACCATACTGGCATCTTACACAAACCGTGTTTGTTCTCACATCAAGTTGAGGTAGCCCCTTAAGCATTGACTTCTTCATCATCACATTTAGCTTATGATAGCTAACGTGACCCAATCTCTGCTATCTCGTTCTTCCTTGTCTTGTCTACGTATGCAATTTCTGCTGACATTACATAGACTGATTGCAGTCGCCGTCCCTCCATTGTTGGCCTCCCTAAGATCTTGAGGTGTCAATACACCTTCACATCTCGTGGACAAACAAGACATAATTTCCCAATGACGTCAATTGAGGCACTGAAAGCAGATTTTTCTTCATACCTGGAACATGGTAGACATCTTGAAGCAGCACATGATTAGTGTTGTATCGGGGCTCAATTACTGTCTTACTGATGTGAGTAATCGGTAGCCTCGAGTCATTAACCGTTACCACTAAGCGGCCTCCTTTGTACTCAGTCAGACTTTGTAACTTTTTCTCATCACCTATCATATGGTTTGAGCAGCCTAAATCCACGATCCAATCATTTTGGTAGTCAATCGACTCCGAACTTGCTGCTGTGAGAGCTGACTCTTAGTTTTCCATAGCAACGGATGCTTCAACGTCCCATACTTCCTCCAAGGCTAGAGACGCAATGACGTCCCAATCATCTTCAATTTTCTCCTTTGAGTTGGTGACATTACTCTCTGCATGCCTTTTGAACCAAGAATCCTTCGCCATGTGGCTCTTCTTTCCACAACTGTAGCACTTGCCCTCAAATCTTTTATTATTCTGGGACTGACCACAATTGCCATGATACTTCGGAGCTCCCCTTGGTCGAGAACTCCCTCCTCCTTGATGACCTTTTTCCTTGTCACCATTTCTTTTAGATCCACCACCAGCATGCTATTTAAAGCTGCCTTTACTTTTGGTGTAAAGCGCTTCCTCCTCACCTTTTGACGAGACCCCTCCCATTTGCTTCGCCAAAGCTTCTTGATCAGTAAGAAAATTCTCAAACTCAACGTTGGGTTGGCCATCCTTGTACAGTGGCAACGAAGCCTTGATATTCGGGTCTCAATCCATGGTTAATTATTCTTTTTATCCTGGATTCCACAGTGGCAGCACTAGGATCTAATTCAGAAATTTCACGGCAAATAGACTTTACCTTGTGGAAATACTGCGCAATTGTCATGTCCCTTTGGGTCACTGATAATAGCTCATTCTCGAGAAGCTGCAATCTTGCTCGTTCCTCTTTGAAAAGAGTGTGGCGAAGGTGTCCCACACTTCTTTCGGTGTCTTGGCCTTCTGTATGTGCTCTAACATGTCATCTTCAACTGTAGTTTTTAAGGTGAACATTCCCTTACCTACCTTGATCTTCCACTTCCTCAAAGTTTCGCTGGTGTCTTCTTCCAATTGCGTAACTTCATTACTGCCAACAACATCCCAAAGAGCTTGGCCTTGTAGGTAAGACTTCATACACGTCGCCCATGTATTGTAATTTTTGTTGTTCAACTTCTTAATTGCTCCAACAACTTGAAGATCTCATATCGTGTCGGTAGAGCTTCGATACGCCAAACAAGATTAATCAACAATCTTGTGAAGTACTAAACTTCTCACGATTCTCAAAAGCTTCACTAGAGACGGTCCCCGATCGCATCGCTTTGATACCAGTTGTTGAGGAAGAAATTTAGAATACGCAACTCTAAAACAAGTATTGGAGAGACAACACAAGTAAACAAATTACTTGTATTAACTCACAAAATATTACAACATAAATTCTCAAGGACACAATTTAGAAGCTATGACACTCACTCTTTCTAGAGACACACTCTAGATCACTCACACTCCTACAAGATTACTCTTGCTTCTTACTCTCTTACTTAGCTATCTTCTTAGCTACTTGATTGGTTGCTTAACAGCACACATACATACATATTTATAGGCAATGGTTGCCGACTTTAAAGTTGGCTAGAACATTCTAGTGGAATGATTATGCATTGCACCGACTCACACACTGCAAATCGACTTGGGCTTTTCATAACAGCCACACAATTTGGCTTCTAGGTCTTTCTAAAAACTTATACTTTGATATTGCTAAACCTTTCATTGATCATGTAGCCACTGACTTAAGTTTGCATAATAGCCTTGCCAACTTAAATGATGCTAGAATTTTCTAGCATATTGATATGCATGATGCACCAACTGTGGTGTTAGAACTCTCTAGAATCCAAATACCAATTGAGCTGCTGTTGATCTTCAACAAGGAGGTGGGGGAGACGGCTGGGGAGGAAAGAATGGGTTTCACCCTAATATTTTGTACAGTTTTTTTATTTTTATTTCATTCTTAAATATTTTAAATTGAATGAAATGTACCTTACTAATAGAGATAAATATGATGACTAAATTAGTCAAATTGACAACACGAAAACTAAATGGGCCAACACGATAAAACACAGGACCATTTTGACATTAAACAAAAATACTAATCACATTTCACAGATGTCCCTACTTTCTTTTTAATCGAAGGCGGCAGTATTTCATTTCAAAGCCAAAAACGGCAGCAAATTACAACAAAGGAATCACTCCTTAACAACAAATCACTAATGACATACCATCCAGTGGCGGATCCATAGTACGGCAAGGGTAGGAAGCTGCCCACCTATACCTCAAAATTTCTCCCTACTGCCCGGATTTTGCCCACCTAACAGCTGGGGAAGGCATGGCGGCAAAGGGCCTGCCCATGGCAGAATCGGTTGCTTCAGCCAAGGAAGAAGAAAGCCTCCAGTTCTGGTTTTTAAAACTTAGACCAAAATGGCTCGTTTTGGTCACTGTTTTTTTTTTAAATTAAGAAAAACGACAGCGGTTTTTTACCTTCAACGTTGTTATGAAATAGGTGTGAATGCCGACGTAACACAGGTATGTAGGGATGGAAGATGAGGCCATCTTTCCAGGTTTATTCAAATTAAGTAGCTTTTGTAATTTCTGAAGAGGATGCCATCTTCAACCAAGGTCTAGTCAAAGACTCGACATAAACTTTGATTAAAAAATTTCTCTTCTGCCCTATTGTTTTATGTGAAATTTATCTTCTCTATTCTACGGAATATAATCTGTCCTTTGTTTATGAAATTAGGAAAGGGATAAAAGAATGGTTATATCTAAATTGTAAATTTTCAAGAAAACCTTAAGATTGTTATGTGTAACTAGTGTCGTAATTTGACAAGAAAACCTGAACAATGTTGTGTACACAAATTCAACCACTTCGTCACTCAAATTTCTCCATCACAACTTCCTTTCCCAATTTTTATGGCGCCACCATTGCTAAGACTCACCCACCAACATGACAACTTAGTGAAAAACACTACATCATGCATACTTGTATCGTTTGACCTATACCCCAAACTTCAAAGTTCCAATAAAGCTTTGTTGTCTAAAATAACTTATAAGGTTTTATATTTCGCCACCCATGAAAGAATTTCTAAATCAACTACTGATAAAATCAGAAGGTTCTTTAAACCAAGTACAAATTCCACAAGAGTAAATGGCCAGTCTAGCGAGGCAATGAGCTACATTGTTTCCCATTACGAGGAACATGGGAAGAAACATCTCCAGTGATCGAGTATGTAAATAAAATGACATTGTGGAAACTTTTGTTGGAGCTTGAAGCCTTAAAGAGTAGCTTTTGAAATAAACTCAAATTCTACAATGTTTATTAAACTTATGTTTTTTGAAAAATAAAATTATGTGTTCCATTTTATTAGTAAAAATCAAACACATATGTCATAATATAAGTAAATGGATAATACGAAATGACAGTATCTCGTATATTAAAAAAAATTATAATGTTTGGTATAATATACAGAGTTGCGATTGCCAAACCAGGTCATGACATCTCTAGTGGGCTTTGGCAGACCAAGCAATAATGAAATGAGGCCCTGTAAAGTTGGGCCAAATTGGTGTAATTTTATTTGGATTTGAGCAAAGTTAATGAGCTAGTAAATTCGGTATTTAGGAGAGGTGAAGCTGAAATTTACTGTTGAGAGTGTGGAGGTACCACTATATTGTAATGTAGAAACAAATGCTTGTGACTTTAAGATGTTAGATTAACGATTTCATCGTAAAAAAGCACCAGGAAATTGGAAATTGATTGATCATCACCATTCACTTTGTTCAATTGAAAGTAAACTTTCCATCAACAATTAATAATTGGTATTTCAACGCCTACAATTTCAATTCTTTGAAACTAAAACATACCCAACAAACAAAACCTTCCTTAGCATAACAAACAATATAAAACCCAAAATTATATTTCTCCCAGCTTGTGGGATTTTTGGTTTATTCTTATCAGAGAGAGGTCCTTTTCTAAATTAATTACGCTTCCTGCAGTTCAATCTAATCTCGCCCTTAGATCCAGTGAGTGGCTTGTTATCTCCCATCTTGATCATTGCCTTGGCAAAGTCAGCATTGAAGGTTTCAGCATTGCCGCTGTAGGATTTAACCAATGAATCGGTGGCTCCGCTGTTAAACAAAATTTGATCACTGTGAAGGAGACCCTTTTGGTTGACAAGGTTCTTGAAGTAGGCAGTGTCGAAGGTATTTGGGGTCGTAACGTCTAAAGGTGCAAGGTTGTTGTCTCCGGAGCCAACTGTTCTTGGACATGTGTTTTGTCTGGTCCTGGCAAATGAAGCATCAATGTTGGTCTCGTTGTATATGCGAGCTCTGAAAGTTGTACACCTTGCTTGTCCAATTGTGTGAGCTCCTGCCATATCATGTAAAAGCAAACACATTTAATTAAGAAATCAAAAGGAGTTCATCTAATCGATATTGTTGGTGTTAGATATGCTGTCAAATTTTCCATCTAGCACCGCACATTCAAATAGAGCTCATTCCATCGATATATCAAATTGACTGTCTAACAATATGAGTACCTGTTATTAGGCCATATGACAAGTGACAACATAATATGTCAACCCATCTGGCAAGATAACATTAAGTCGTCATCCCTTTTGTTTTTATCTAGCTTATAGACGAATCAAAACTAAGATCCTTCCATTTTTTTAAGGTTTTCTCATTTCAAAACCAAATCCTTGTTAAACTAACCGGGGGTTCAAATCCGCAATGGTAATTAACCGACCAAAACCAAAGGGCTTTGATATGACTTTTTTTTTTAGGAAAACTAATGAAAATGGCTTGAAAACTTTAAGTTTTAATAATAAGAACAAAATAAAGGGTAAAGTGAATAGTACCAGGATTGACTTTTAGTGTAAAAATGTGGTTTTTGTTAAAGTGAACAATACCGCGGGTTTTTCGTTAAAACTCTTTTTTTTTATCCTCTTTTATTTCGTACAATGAAAAGACTGCTATCAGCAGCTCTTATTTTAGTGGTATTCTTCTTTTCAATAATGTTGGAAGGGATTTTAATTTCAAATTTGCCCTCCCGGTGGACCAATGAAATGACAAAAGTGCCAGCAAAAGATGTACATCGTTAAAAGGAAGCTGAAATTTACCAGATAAGGCTACCAAGTCCCTTTGAGAGAGACCTACAGCTCGGAACCTGTTGACGAGCTCGTTGAGGGTGGCAGTAGGAGGAGGGATGACTCCACTATTGGCAGCCGATAGGCTAGCTGTCTTTGAATCCCTTCTTCCAAGTTTAACCTCCCAACTTGGTCCTCCAAGCTGCAGTAAAATAAAATCAAAACCGTTAAATTTATACTGTTAACTTAGAGGATTAAAATCTCCCTAAACCTAGCACATAGTTACTTAAATCATGTAGTTTTGTTACTCACAATTTGAACGGAATCTCGAGAAGCAATAGCTAAGATATCAGCACAGGAAACGACGCCGGGGCATGCCTTTTCCACTTGGGACTTGATCTTGTCCACAACCTCAAACCCTCTTGCAGAGTTGTTATTCGGGCCTGCAGTCTTCTCACCAGTGAAGGAAGAAGTGTCGTCCAGTAATAGAGATCCATCACAACCCTGGTATGATGCATGAATTCAACAACGTACGATTAGTATTAGTAATTAATAATAATAACCACTAATATATATTGACTTTTATTATTTATTTTGAAAGTGAAGAAATTGAGGTTTTACCAAAAGAAACATGGATAGAAAGTAACTGGAAAAAAAAAATTATAACAACATCTGGACTGCAACAGAGTTAATGTACAACTAGAAAATTACCTGAAACACTAAGGAAAATCTTTTCTCACTACCCTATTTATCACCGTTAGATAAGTTTAAATTTTAAAATATGTGTAGTAGATAGACACAAATCCCAAAATTTAAATTCATCCAACATTAATAAATACAATGGGGTGCATTACCATCACTTAAGGGTGAGCAAAAATGTACTCAAACACTAATGAGAAGTATAGAACATATGGTCAAGATTGTGACAAGTGTCATCAAATTAGAGGTCATTAGTAGTGATGTTAGAAACTATAAGAGGGGTTATCAATTCTGTTATGGTTGATAATGGAAGAGATTCATGTATTCCCTCTACAGAGTTGTAAACAGGGAAATCAATTCATGTATTGCCTTGTAAACACTATTCACTCATTCCAAATCTCAATGAAATCAATATTTCCCTTCATGTTCTCTTTATCTTAAACCACCACGGCATCCATACTAGATGATATGTGATTAACATTATCCAACTTTGTAATTAATAGTATGATCACATAAACAGATAATGTGTTTAATAAAGAAAAATTATAATAGAGAGAAGCACATATAAAAAAGAACTTACGTTGACGAAGCAGTCATGAAAGTGAAGGCGAAGAAGAGAAGCGCCCATGCGCTTTTCTTTAGATACAGCAGACTTGACAACAGATTTGACTGTATCAAAAACTTTAGGACAACTCTTAGAATAGAAATTCGTAGAGAGTTGAGCAGAAGAGCTCCCAGTGAAACCCACAAGAACACCGACTGTGACGATCATCAATATGGAACACAATGAAAAAGTATTACTAAAAGCCATTGTTTCAAATTCAAAATGTAGTTGAATTAACAAGGTTTGAGAATATGGTGTTGCATGGAGAATATAATAGGGTTATATATAGAGGAAGAAGTGGGGAGATTTTCTGGATGACAGGTTAACCTAATCCTAAAGACTAAGACTAAGCAGTGCATGGCATGACAATTTCTACGTCTAGTATTTAATTAGGAGGAGTTTGCTTTTTAGTTGTAGGGATCAACTAGTAGTACAACCACAGCAGCAAAGAATGCGATGGATTGAATGATACAGCAGCAAAGAATGCGATGGATTGAATGATTTGGATGGAGGAAGGTGGTAAACCTTCAAAAGCACGTTTACGTGAAATGAACCAGCGGAGACGGTCAATGTGGGAATGGATCAAATTGGTTATAACTTTTGGGGGTCCACCATATTTTGACGTTAATACCTTTTGGGATTTGGTGAAGATACCATGCAAGATTTCGACCAAAAAGATAAAAATACAATGCCATGCAAGAATAATCAATTCGTAGCTCCAGAAAAAAAATCTGTTGTAAATTATCAAGTCTTGAAAATAAATATAAGGATGTTTTGCGGTTGTTGGTTAAATCCAAGAAGAAAAAGAACATCATTGGTTGGTTCACCGGTGAGAGAGAGGAAGAAAGTAAAATTGAAAGAGAGGAAACGTTCTATTGCCGGCTGTGAGGAGTGTCGCCGCCGAGGAGTTGTGTGTGGTTTCGTGGGTGACTATCGGGTTAGGTTGGTGGAGAGTTTGGCTCCTTTTGCTGTTCTTTAATTTCTTTTTATTTGTTATGTTAGTCTTTGAAATGATAACATTGTTGATTTGGAGGTTAATTTCAGGAACAAAGTGTCAAAAAGTTACAGACGAGACACGAAAGAAACACTGAATTGGGCATGCTCGCTTACAATGAATGATATTGCAATGAATGAGTATCATCCTATTCATGTGTTAACTAACAACTTAAGGAATAAAAAAGTAAATGAATCATACTAAATTTCAGTATGACATAATAAAATGAAGACGTGATGAGAATGCTTATATATAAACAACTCGATGAAATGCCACTTTGGCATAATTCAGTGAGCATTGACAAGTGATGCTCGACATGCCTCGATATCAAACCTTACAAGTTGTCGAAAAATCCAAGTAGCACTCATGGAAGCTTTCAACAAATATAGGTAGACGACGACATACTGACTACGTGCTCAACTAAATGTATTAATAAATAAAAAAACAAAATTGATTGCTTTTTGCACTTTGGGCACACCAGAATGTCTTATAGCGGGACACCAGAAAATTAAAGTTATGATGCACCACTCCTAATAGCCTGTTAGATGTACATAAATGAAATGCTAATTGCCAATGGGTGTAGGAAACTATAGTTCATCGGTACTACCTACAATGGTGTTTGGAAATACGATGTTATGGACAAGTCTCTTTTGATGTAACTAACTCGTTGTTGTTTTCAATACTGCTATAGTGGCAAGTCCATAAGAAATAAATCCCATCCCATTGGTAGAGAGCTATCATATTCATAGGGAGGGTTTGGAAGTGATATTTGAGTTTTGAGTGTCACAATTGACAATGTCAATTATATGTGTAGCTAATTAAGCAGATACTGGCATTGTAGCAAATACGACTCTTGAATTATTTAAGAGGAATATCGGGCCATATCCCAGCCTTTATTTGTCTTATCTGGTAAGTATTCTGGACAACGAACTTGCATGACAAAACTACGCATGTGCTTTATACTATAATTTGTAAAACCGTTAGTATTAGGTTCGATTAGGTATGGATTTGTAATGGTGTTGTCGATAGCTTTTCTTGACTTTCGACTTTTATTTCAAAACACCAAATTTTCAAAGTTAGGCACGATTGCAGACCTTAAAAATAAGATAAAATAAAAGATTACATAAGAAAATACCGGTTGATGGATTTTCTTAATTTCATGGAGAAGATACGAAAAATTGTGAGAGCGATTGCGTGTGTGTGTGTGTACACAGTAGTATAGAGAAAAAGTAGTAAAAGAGAATTCAAACTATTCTAAAAGTATTATATTTGTCTCTTCAGTCAAGAAAAATGGCCACCATTGCCAGTCTAGCTAGCTTCTCAAAATTCAAGAGAAATTCATTTTTGAGGCTAAAATCTGGGGACTGATATAGATCATGTTTCATGCACCAATAATTCTCCACTTGTCCATATACAGACAAGAAGTATGCACACTTAGTACTATGGTCCAGTGATATTCCTTTTCACTTGTACGTAAGAGGTCTTAGGTTCAATTCTCACAAAGACGCATTTGAACCATATTATTGCTAGCCCATTATGAGGCTAACCCCTTAGTGTAGATAATATCATTTGTTTAAAAAAAAATCACGCATTTTGATACCAAATTTTTAAATCATATTTTATAAACCATGTGATGTGGCAACTAGATAGTAGGCTCCTGCTTTAAATCATTAAAAATAAGTTACACCATCAATGGTCATACCATTTGGTCTACAAAAGATGGTCCAAAAATTTGGTTTTCCTAACATTTTTCAAAATAAAGAAGCTAAATAAAATGTTAGCTATCTTATTAGGATAAATAGAATTGAATAGGGGTTCACGTTCATTCCAACAACCAAAAAAAGTTGATTTCAAAATTTTAGTGTACATATAAATTTATTTGGAAAATGCCTTTCATTTGTGAAGCATAATGTAAACACGAAAATTCATTTTCGATGTCTATGCATATATTCTCTCTTTTTATAATTTTTACTTTTAGTAACTTTCATGTGTTAAGCTTGTGGTCAAAGTTAATTAATTACTAGTATAAATAAAACAAAAACAACAAGCACACATTAAGCATACTCATTCGATATAAATATCAAAATAATATTTCGTAGGCTAATCTTAAATAAAGATACACACACACACATACATACATATATATATATATGTATATATATATATATATTTTGTCAACCGATAAATTTATTAGATTAGATGTTAGATTATAAAGCCAATGAGATTCAAATCCATGTCGTGAAGCAAGGGCAACACTCTTTTTCACTGCTGTAGTAGAGGGTCACTTGCAAATAAGGATATATATATGTTTGCTCATACTTTTTATTATACGAAATCAAATTATATAATGGCGTACTAGAATAAAAGAAAGAGGATACCTCTATCTCTTTTGACAAATGTGTTGCAAAACATGGAGTGGTTCTACGTTGAAGGTTCTGCAAAAGATGTTTGTTTGTTTACTTGTTATACTTGAATGTTGTCAATTCTGGCATTCAGCTCTAAGCCATGGATGAATATGACTCGTTTCTTCGAGCTGTCATATTGTCTCACGGTACAAAATACATTTTGGTTATTACGACATGCATTATGCGCATAAATTTGATAAAAGGCTAATTTTGGTGTGTTGAGTTTTCTCATCTTAGTGAAGACTGTGGAGTCAACCTGCATAAACCACGACAAATGGCTCAATGAAAAAGTGCAGACATTAGCTCCTTAAAAAAATTAATAGGAGGTCATGAGTATATATTGTAAGTTGTAAATCTGTTTGATTGTAACCACAAATAAGGTGCAATTCCCAATTAGTCTCCTACGAATATGAAAACGATGGATAACTATGGTTTGCCATCCATTATTACCAACCCATAAAAAGCAAAGTAAAAGAAAACCTTGAGAACATCCTAGTTGATAGAATAGGATTATGCATATATACATCAACTAGAGTGAATTCAAAATATGATTGAACTGAGACTGTTCGGGTGGGGCTAACCTCTATTTAATCGACCTACTAAAAAAAGCAAAGCATAGTGAGCTTGACTTTTATATGCAACCACCTTTCCTAACCCAAGTAGACATGCCCTTCAAATTCAATTTCTTAAATCAAACGTTTGCTTCAATTATTTACCAAACACTATTAAACACACGTCAAAGTTATCTAAGTTCTTCATTCAACTCTGACTCGTAACAAGAAATTTGTTCGTTATTATCATATTGTCACCTAGTGTTACTATTAATTTAAATAATAGAATGAGTTTTATTTATTAAGTTTAACTGTATTTTACACACTTCATATTTGAAACGGTATGCTTCAATTTGATTGATTGTATGATAATTCTTTTTTTTTTTTTTTTATACAACAATATTGGGGAGGGAGTGATTTACATCATAGTCAACCATATTTATATCTCGAATTCGTTATCTATGAGAATTAAACTTAAGATTTTCTACTTACAAGTGAAGATGTGTACGACTAAACTTTAGTGCTAGCAGTGACTGTAAGATTGTAAATGGAAATTTTTTTGACTTGAAACAATAGTTGTACCTATTGGGCTGAACCCAACCAAATCAAATGGGCTTTCATACGGAGGTGAATTTACTAAGCCCGTGAGAAATTTTGGGCCTAGACAAAAATTTTGGTATATTCTAATTAATACGACTTACCGTTTGATTTGTACACTTTGAAACGACTGCAGCATGTACTCACAATCGTCTCTTCCACTGGCCCATGGCGCCGTCGCATCGTCGTCCACCTTCTCGTTCTCGTCGGAGCCAGAGCCGGGAGGTGTAGAAGAAGCTCTGCTACAGCTCGTCCAGGATCACCACCACACCTCCCTTAGACTTCGCGACGTCACCGGTGAGTTGATTCAGTTCCCCCAAATCTAATTTCGAATTCGATCTAAGGGTTTGAAGAAAAGAAGCTGGATTATTGAAATTGGATTCGATACGGATTAATTGAGTGATTAATGGTGATTTTTTGGCAGAGAAGGCGAAGAAGGACGCTATCAAGAAGGCGGCGCGTGTGGCGGAGCTGATGGTGGATGCGGTGAACGGCGGCGTGCAAGAGGCGTTCGTGAACGAAAAGCGAATCGAGTATGAAATTAGAGCTTTGGCTGCCACCATTGCACGATTCAGCAAACAAACCGATCACTGGCTCTCTGTCACTCGTTCTATGAACACTGCCATCAAGGTTCAATTTTTAATTTTTGTTCTTCAATTTTCCTGTAAATTAATTAATTACTGTTGAATTTATAAACATGGGTTATTTTAAATTTAAATTTTTTCTTTTTGGTGTGGTAGGAAATTGGAGATTTTGAGAACTGGATGAAGACTATGGAATTTGATTGTAAGAGCATCACTGCAGCTATCCACAATATTCACCAAGCATGATCAAGCTCGTAAGCACATTATGGGAACAGTCTCTCTGTAAAGTAAAAATAAGGCTATGTAGACGGTACTCTGATTCTCGCAAAACGGAGATCTTGTTGGCTTGGGATCGCTCTTTCCTGGTTATTTTCTTTCGGTAATTTGTATAGCATCTGAATTGTGGAACGATAAGTCTTTTTTCTTTGAAGATATGATAATTCACATTCACAACGTGCAAATTTGGTTTGAGGAAGGCATGTAGTCATTTTGTGCATTTGGTTCCATTCCTGGTTTTTTTTTTTTTTTTTTTTTTAAGAAAATATTAAGATGTGCAAGGCTTGCTTGCAGCCCAAGTATATGCATATGTACAACGCGGCATCTAGTCTCCACTTTGGTGGAAAACGTTTTGAGTTTAAATTTCATGGACGATAGAAAAAAAATTTATATGTACAGCATGATAAAGTGTACTCATAGTAGTTGACATTGGAATGGTCTTTCCAAAATTTTGAAGAGGACACATGAAGAGAAAGAGGGAAAATGTCAAATGTCAAATCCTATAAATTGTTTCAGAAACTCTATCAGGAATTCAGGATATGGGCATTGGACTCTGGATGGATTGGCTTTTGGCTCCTTTTGAATTGAAATTTGAATGTCAACTTGTAATCAGAAACTAATGAAAATGTCAACTGTGAATTTGTTTTTAAGCTAATAAGAATGGATTTGAAGAAAGTTAGGGTTTCACCGTAAAATCAATTAGCAATATGGGGATTGGGGAGTAGATCAATTACTTGGGCATATGCAAGGTCACTTCTTTGCATGATGTGGGATTGATACTCTCAACACGAATTTTGAAGTCTAGCACGTAGACAACATAAATCGGGTGAAGTGGAGCACATGTGGCCGCTAAGGCCGTTAAGCTTCACAAATGGGGGAATCTACTCTAATACCACGAAAAAAGTTGAGATTTCACCATAAAACTAACTAGCAATATTGGATGTAGCCCAATTACTTATAAGCACATGCAAGATCTCTCATTTCTCCAATGTGGGATCGATACTCTTAACAGGATTAACCAATAACAGAAGTTGCCCACATCGGTTAATTATGAGAAAAAAGATTTAATCAGATGGGATTAAAATAGTAATCTAGTGCTAATCCTCTATTTAACGATTGACTAATCAGTACGACTTGGTCGATCTAGACTGTGACATTAACCTTGATTTCATTAAAAACTTGATCTTAAGAGTATAGTTGGTCACCTAATTGCATTCACTTGTTTTTAATTTAGTTCTGCAACTTGGATATGTTTATAGAGAGAACCCTCATTTTACTGCAGATTGTGTGTTGGAGGAACGAAATTTTGGCTTCTGCATATCCTATTTAATTGTCATCTCCCCAGAAAACAGACATCAAAGTCGTAAGCAGCTGTTGTTCAATAGCACAATTAACTATTTATTTATCACATAAAATTAGCTTAGGGGTTAGTGATTAAATATCAGAAAAAGCAGGGCTTTACCAAATCTAAATGTTATAAAATTGGTTGTTTTATAATTAAATAGATGATAGGGTGTGGTAATCTTAGCAGCTGACTTAGCATTGTAGCAGCAGGAATTGTCCCGATAGAGACAGAGAAGTTGATCCTTGGACAGCAAGATATGAACACTCAAACTTTAATATCGTATTTGTTAATCACTTTCATGGATTCAATTCAACCAATATATTGATAAATAATTAATTGGTTGAATGTATAATTTTACACTAGCTCTTACATGCGTTTGCAGATGCTGTACAATATTTGGGGGGGGGGGGGGGGGGGGGGGGGGGAAGAGCTTGGCCGACAAGAGGGCAAGAGCTTGGCCGACAAGAGGGCATGCCAAGTCTTGCAATATAATGTCAAAGAAAATCTTTACTATTAGATATAATAGTTCGTTTTTCGGGTACGTAATAACATAATAGATTACACTTGCCATGATCATAGTAGACAATCACTTAACTTCAGTGTATATCAAGTTAACATCGTTGCTCGCGTGTAGTTTCACTCTTCGAGCAGAAAATAAAATAAAAATGCAAACAAAGAGAGATGTAATTTGTAAAGTATCGTATTTCTCATTGATATTTCAATATCGTAATTAATACAAGGCTTTATAATCCACGGCCCGTAGTCTTAATTAATAAGAGAAACATATAGGTGCAATTAGGGACGAGTTAGAGATTTGTATGAATGGAGGCATCTTCAAACAAAAAGTCGTAATTAAAAAACTCAAGAATTTACTGATCAAAACACTTATGTATTAATTCATAAAGTTTTCCATACAACATATTACAATATCCCTCGACATGTTTTCATCTTTTGAAAGCGTTGCATGACTACATCATTACTAATATCATCAAATATCTCTCTCAATAAAAATAACCATGTTACCATTCATCCATTGATCTCCCTTCCGATTTCTCAATTGATTCTTCAAAAATTTCATGGCCAAAAATACTCTTTCAGTGGCAGTAGCAACTAGAAGAATTAGCGCTAATGTCAAAAGCAAGTAAACTAGCGGATACACCTTGTCTTTTTGCATTGAACCATTTTTTTTTTCAAGATCTCCAATCCCATTTAAACCTGAAAACTCAATGCTAGACCGCATATCCACAATGTGAGTCTCAAGTAGAATCTTAAGTATCATTTGCTCATTTATAGAGAAGTCCTTAGGATAAAATGTGCAAGACGCAATAGCTTTTGGCTATCAAAAGCAGAGAAGTAATTAACTGGACATAAACATGCCAAACAAAGAAGAAACTTAGTGTTGGTCTCATTGAAACGATTGCTTAGTTCTTGAAGTTGCCAATCCAAAACAACATAAAATATCCCAACACAATAATGATGCATATTTGTGATTGCTTGAGCTTTTCGTTGCCCTAGCCTTCGAGAAAGAAACATATCATCCATATTAGGCACATCAATATCATTTTTAAGACAAAATTAAAGACTTCACCAAATAAAGAATCCCAACCACTTTTCATCATTATCTCCCATCTTTGCTTACAATCTCCAACCAAATTCATGGCGTTTACAATATCATGATCCTTGCTTTGCAATGCCTGTAACAATTCATTGGTTATATATTCATACTAGTTTCATTCTTCACACGGATTAGGAAAATAAAAAGGCGTTGATGAGAGATGTAATTTTGTTAAGTATCGTATTTCATTTCACATTGAATTACAATGTCGTAATACAAGGCTTTATAATCCACGATCCGTGGTTTTAATCAACAAGAGAAACGTATTGGTGCAACCTTAACATTCATGCACTTTGCAAACAAACAAAAAAGTGAAGAATGATAAATATATATTGGAGGCTTTGCACACAATACCTCCCACAAACCAAGCCTTTGATACAAGTTAGATAACACCCTAAAAGCTTGAGCTATTACGAAATGGACTAACAATGGGTATCAAGCCACACAAAATTGATATACATAAATAATTAACGACACACGAAAATCTTTGAACAATATAGTATCGCAAATTCGATCCTAATTGATTTTCCTGCAGTCCAGTCTCACTTCTCCCTCGTTTCCAGTGAGAGGCTTGATGTTGCCCATCTTGATCATAGAATTTGCGAAATCTTTTCCAAAAGCAGCTGAGTTCTTGCTGTAACGCTGCACCAACTTATCACTATCGCTACCATTACCCTTAAAGAGCTCCTGATCAGAGTGGAGGAGACCCTTTGATTTCAACAGAGCCTCAAAGTAGACAGTATCGAATCTCTTTGAAGTTGCATCTAGTGGCCTTGTGTTGTCATCTCCTCCACTTGTTGGGCAATTCTTTTTGGCCAAGGCTGCAAATTTTGGGTCTATATTGGTATCGTTATAAATCCTGGCACGGAAGGTGGTGCACCGAGCAAGTCCAAGGGTGTGGGCGGCTGAGAGCACAACTAAGTCTTTTAGGTTTAGACCATGAGCTTCGAAGTTTGAGAGAAGCTGTGGGAAGTTGAAGAATGGAGGAGGAAGATTTCTGTTTGCATCATTCACGCTTGCAGTTCTTGCATCCCTTCTTCCCAATTGTACTTTGTAAGTAGGGCCTCCCAACTGAATAACAAAACAATTTAAACACAAATTTCATAAAGGGCATTTTGATCTATCGAAAGAAATAAGTGTTAGTACCGTCACCAATTTTTTTTTTCGTAAAATGATATTCGAATTTGTGTACATTCTCAACCTCAGTTTTTGTTAAACCTGGTATTGAAACGTATAATACTAACGCGTTATTTTGTAATACAAATTTGGTGAATCTTGCATTATTAATGATCGGACATATATGCACTCACAATGGAAACGGAATCACGAGCTGCAACTGCTAATATATCTGCACATGAGACCACACTTTTCTTGCAAGCTTTGTCAACAGCTTTTTTGATATCATCGACCACGTTTAATCCCCTGATCGAATTCACATTTGGCAAGGCTGTCTTCTCACCGGTGAAGTTGGAAGTGTCATCAAGCAGAACTGACCCATCACACCCCTGCATTAATCAATAAACCATGGACATATATCAGAAAATAGGTTACATTCACATGTTCACTGCTCCTGATACAATAAACAAATATAATAAATGCAAGTGAAATGCATGCGAACGATCAGTCAAAAGCATAATTACATTAACAAAGCAGTCATGGAAGTGCAGGCGAACTAGAGAGGCTCCCATCCGTGGCTCGCGTTTGATGGCCCGCTCGACAGCTTTTCTGATGGCTGGTAGTGCCTGAGGGCACCCTTTCGTGTAGTAATGAGTATTTAGTTTTGCAGATGTTGGTTTCATACTAGTCGCAGCAACCAATACAATACAGATGATCGCTAGAAATGATCGGAGAATAGCCATGGCCACAGTTTAATTTTCTTGTAAAACTAATGAATAGTGATAATGATGATGATGATGATGATGATAATGATCAAGGAGTATGAGTGCTTAAATAGAGATTAATTATTTCCATATCCGGCCCACTTGTTATTTTCATCCTGTGTATAGACCAATTCCATGAAATAATGAATAATTTCTGGTGAGGTCTAGTGTGTTCATTGCTGTATATGCATGGACTTGTTCCACTTAAAAATTAACATGGAGCCTTAAATCGTATTCTGTCTTTTAGTCTCTGTGGCAAGAGGTGTAGAAGAAGCAAAGATATCGAACAGGCCTCTTTAATTTACGGAATTAATTAGTTAATTAAGATTAATTACAGTGGTTTGATAACTTAATACTGTAAAAGAGGAAACCATAATAACAAATAATCCAGCAAAAAATCAAGGTACAGTGGAGGCTAGGAGAAGATTGAGGGCGATACCGACACGATTAATTTTTAGAAGGTGGCATGAGCAGTCTGCGATTGAGGTTTGCACGTTAGTTTTTCAACTCTGTAAGTTTCATGTTTTTAATTTCCTTGTAAGTTAACTGATGCAGTAGGAAATTGGATGCATTGTGAGCTGAATGAAGATCATGGAACTTGATTGTAACAGCACCGCTGAACATAATTCATCAAGAATGATTTCACAGAAAGTTTGTTTCACTAAGTGTCGATGGAGTTATGAGTTAATTTTGTCTGTAAATTGTAAAGAATAGTTAAGTGGACATAATTGTTACTAGTGTAAAGATAGCTGCACTTGCAGATTTTGAGAGAGAGAGAGTGAGAGAGAGAGAGAGAGAGAGAGAGAGAGAGAGAGAGAGAGAGATTTGTATTAGTAAAAATGCTTTCTTCATTAATCTGTAATGGTTTACAATGATCACCTCCTCGAGAATCTATATTTGTGAAAATGAAGCAATCTTTGTGAGGTCAGATAGCCTTAATCCATATTTGGGCTCAGGCCAAAGACATATTTCAGTACTAAGCTTGTAGAGCGAGTAATCCTTTTTAACCACCTCCTTATATCAACTGACTTTATCTCTAACCAACTTTATCCAAGTCCATTTCTAACAACTAACTATATGTATAATAACCTATTTAATCTCTTGACAAGTGGCATTGTTTTGACCATTGATAACCTCATCACTTGGATCATAATCTTGCACCTTATCCTTCTTACAACTAGAGCACGTCACGATCGAGTATGTACAAGTATTATTGTCACCTACTCTGTTTTTTTATTTTGGTAACAATCACCTACACCGTTTCATTCAAAGTTTGACAACGGATTATCCTACTTAAAATCAATTATTAAAACGTATTGTTGTTTTGGGTCACATGCATGCATGAAAAGAAAGATAAGCATGCCAAACTTGTATACAAGAAACTCAGCATGGAAAATTGTACCCTGGGGGGTATTGGCTTTTGGCTGCTTCTGAATTGAATGTCAAATTCTTGTTAATTAATTAGGTTAGCATAACAAAACAAGTTTCCCTAATCCGTTAATTCTGCAAGGGATTTAGAAATTAGATGGTATTTGGATTCTAATTATATCTAACATCCCGTAAGACTTTGTCTAAACGGTGAAAGTAATCTGAATTTCATTGAGAATATTTATATATAGTTAATTTTTCACCTAACCATTTATTTGTTTTCTCGTTCAGTACTACAAGTTGGATTTGTTTGTTCTCAGAACCATCACCTCTTTCAGATTGTGTGTGGATCAATGTCCTTTCTGAAATCAAACAAAACTAGTCAAGCTCAAACATATTCAGACAGCGAGGTTGGTCATAATTAAGTTGAAAAAACAAAAACAAAAACCAGGGGACATCCCCAATCTCAAAAGCGTTTTGTGCGTGGCCTGTTGCTTACTTTCCATATGTCAACATTAGTAGAGACGTGCGTGGCCTTTTGTGCCTCTCCATGATCTCTCTGTCTTCAATCTTCACAACTATGAGAATCTTGATCATTAGTCTTGCCTTAGAAATGATATACTTCCCGCGTTTCATCATTTCAAACAAGTATCCCTTCCATAAAACTAAGGCCAACTCAATTAGATACATAACAAATAAAGCATGGATTGAGTAAATAAATATACCATAAAACTAAGGCCAAGTCAAAGAAAGTGTGTAGAAACAAAGCCTGGATTAAATAAAAAAATATAAAATAAAAGTTGTGAATGTTTGTAAAGTAATAGGTTGCACTGCCAAGTGAAAAGAAAAGGTCAACTATATTTTGTACAGAAAAATGCTCAGGTTAGTGTATAGTCGAAATTTTCTATAAAAGGAAATCAATTTTATTATGAATTATGAACCGAACACTCTAACGAGTAAAGGCCTAAAGGAGCGGGATGGAAATATTTTTAAAACTTGTTCACCAAACAAGAACAATATTTGGCTACTTAAAGATGAGTAGGAACTTCTAGTCAAAATTTCTCAAAATTGTTCGTTGTAAATTTATAGAATTTCGTGCTTATAATCAAAATATTTCAAATTATAAATCACCCTATAAAGATCGTCGCTGCAAAAAATAAATTAAAACTAAGGTCATTTAGTCATCAAACTGTTTAAAAACAAATGAACGGTATTGGTAAAAGCATTACGAACCGTCTATGTATTTACTACAATAGATTGACTAAACGACCTTAGCTTTAATTTATTTTTTGCAGAGATGATCTTTACAATGTGATTCATAGTATGAACGATTCTTATCATAAACACAAAACTCTGTGATTAAAACACTAAGAGTTTTGAGTATGAATTCTTACTCATCTTTGAGTAGCCAAGTATTGTTCACCAAACAATGTGTAAATTCACATGCTAGTTAATATAATGAATGAAGCTTGAAGTTGGCTTGTAACACTATTGTTAGTTCTCACAACTAGGGTGTATCCAATTAAGATTTTGATGAATTTTGAAAGAATTTAGAAATCTAGATATATTCAATTAAAATTTTAAAAGAATCTGTCAAACTCTATTGGTATTCAATCTTGATTTTTGAAGAGTCTATCAAAATCTGATGGTATTCAATCTCAAGTTTTTAAAAATGTTTCAAAATCTTGTTATATTCAAAATGCATTGAATTTGTAGGAATTTAGGAGTTGAAGGATTTTGGTGGATTCTAGAGTGGAAAATATAAATACCAAAAGCCCTCACAAATCATGTCTCTACCCCTAAGATTTCATCGTGATTCCTCCCTCTACAAAATATGAGCAGACCTAGATATGAACGAATTCTTCTTCTAAGTAGACATGTAAAGGTAACACGTCAAGAAATCTACAAACTTCTTTTTTCGATTTTTTTGTCTTCTCTGTGTGGCCAAATCTTTATCTCCTTTCTCTTCAAGGAAGACAACCTGTAATCAACAATGTTCTTGTCTTCTCCTCATAGCTAATTTTGTTTATTATTTGTTTTAGAGAACCTTAGATCTCGATTCAACTCAATCGAATTCTAAGCATCAATTTCCTTGCTTGATCCTTTTTTTATTTGTTCAATTTCCTTGCTTGATCTTGGACTCATTATCACCCAATATATGTTGTACTTGCCAATAGCTCACCCTTTCATCACCGTAGAAATCTTCCTTTCTTTTCTACTTTTCTTTTGGCATCCTCGTTGTGACCTTTGATCTTCTGTAAATGATATAAATATCCAGTAAACTCCATAAAAAAATTCGTATAAAATTCATTTTAAATCCACATACGTGAAATCTATGTGAATCCATTAAAATTCATGTGGAGTTTATATGAATCTATTAAAATTCATAGACTCTATGGGAGTCTATAATTCTATTAGAATTCATCAGATTCTTAATTGAATACATCCCCAGCTTCTTTTGTGTTATATAAAGAACTTAGAGCTAAGTAGTTAAGATTATCTATTTCGATATCTAAAGTTTTAGTTTTAGGTTTGAATCCTCACTCATCATTTACATAAAAGTTGTTATAAAAGTCATTAGCTTTGGCAGGCCTTTTAGAGTGGTTTGACAAGATAAGTAGTTTTCTTTTGTTTAACGGACTCTACACATGTTAGGGAGAACACATTTAGGATATCACACTGTAATACATCTAAGAGGTGAGACGTACTATATTATTGGGTTCTATATCTCTATTACATAAAGGTGCAATGCGGTCTTTTGAAGTATGATCTCTACTTATGTTGATAATGTTTTTGCAAGATGTGTGTGTGTGTGTGTGTGTGTGTGTGGACCTTAATTAGTGCTAATTTCTCATTTATATATGTTCATGTATAGTATCAGAAGTTACTAATCAAACGGCTAGCTACTAATTAATTAATTAAATGAAATTTTTACTTTATCATAATCAACTTGGATTTAACCATGGTTGGATCTATGACTTTAAATTCCTGATATTTTCCGTGTTCTATATCAACATGGAAAAGAGCTTGGACTAAAAAGGTATATACCATGTACATGTAGTATTCTAATCTCAAAGCCAATCTCCATATTATTCAATAAATAGTCCCATTTTTTTGGGTACAATATATAGCATGATCATAGATTATGCTACATTGCAAAATCATGAAAAACATGTATCTTTTTAATCATGACAACAACACACACTAATTGATTTTCCGGCAGTTCAATCTTACTTCTCCATCATTCCCAGTAAGAGGCTTGATGTTACCCATCTTGATCATAGAGGCTGAAAAGTCTCTAGCAAAAGCAAATGGGTTCCTGCTGTATTTAAACACCAGCTTATCACTATCGGTGCCATTATTCTTAAATAGCTCTTGATCAGAATGGAGGAGACCCTTTTGTTTCAACAAGGAATTAAAGTAGACGGTATCAAATCTCCTTGTAGTTGCATCTAGTGGCAATGTATTGTCATTTCCTCCACTTGATGGGCAATTTTGTTGCGCTGAGGCTGCGAAGCTGGGGTCTATGCTGGTGTCATTGTAAATTCTGGCCCGGAAGGTGGTGCACCGAGCTAGTCCAATGGTGTGGGCGGCTGAGAGGACAACTAAGTCCGTTAGGTCTAGACCATGAGATTTGAAGTTAG